CAATTCAGCAGCATGGAATTACAGGGATTAATACTGGCAAAAATATCTTTCACACTGGGGATACACATTTCCTTTTAAAGCTTCCTGGGTCATGGTCCAAACATGACTAGTAATGTCTTAAAATCTTATTTCACGCATGAACGTGACTCGAGTTTGCGGAAAATCGGATTTGATGAGAGCTTTGAAATACACAGCCAAGTCAAACTAAGATGAGACTGGATATTTCTGGTCAAGACACTTTGCCATTTTACTGAATGGCTTATTCACTTCTAAGGCAATCGTGAAATAGTTACATGTAGTGATTTGTTTTTTGTTAAGACTTGGGGCATTCTCTCAACAGGTTTTAACAATTGTAAATGTTTTGATCCAAATGTCAGTGTTGTATAATGGCAAATGGTATACGTTTTTGTTCTGCTGCCAGTCATGCGCAACGTCTACAGACATTTATCTTTCCAACCAGGGAAAAGATTTGTTGGACAGCTGGTATCGCATGACGTTGATTGATGTTGCAGCCCAGAGCTTTGAGTGATAGGACCCCTGACAGATAATGTTAGGTTGTGTTTCTCTTCAACTTCGGTCATGATATTACAGTTTTAATGTTATTGTGTTTACATTATATTTTTGTAACTCTGTCTTTTTGTGACTAGTATTTTGGTCAAGAGAGATCATTTTGAGTAGAGTAAGAGTAGTAGTGTTAAGGCCCTGCATGCAACATTTACCTAAGAAAAGTAAACGACTATTTGCAACAAAATCATCAGGGAGAATATTTGCATTGTAGGATTATAATTTGTGTAAAGCAGTTCTTTAATATACTGTTGGGTAGTTTCATTTGTAAAAAAGCATCATGTTTTTAATCTGGTTTTGTATATAAAAAGTACATATGTAAAGTAAGTAGTAACTTCACCTTTTAAACAAATGATATAGAGTGCAAGGTACAATATTTCCATTCCATGACGTAGGGAAAAGTACCAAAAACAGTGCACAATACTTGAGTAAATCTACTGACCTACCTTCCACAGCTGTAAGTCTTGTTTTTTTCTGAGGTGCAAACTCTATGCTATAATACAAGACTCCTCAGCAGGTAACTGAGTGAGAGCACGAGGCTGACATGAACAAAAGGCTGCCAGCACTCTGGGTGTGCCGTGTCATGTTCATTTATAAATGACGTCCTATGAAAGATGCAGTTGTTTCTGACAAGGGCTAAAATCACAGCCAGCCAATTGATCATTTTCTTAACTACGAGAGTCCTGGGAAAGCCCTCTCCCATGTTTTGCATTTACATTTGTGTCATTTTTTGATTCTGCTTTGGGAGACGTGGAATGGTAAAGAGGAATGCTTTGATCAGTTTTGGAAGCCCGGGTAAACTTAGTTAACTCATTCCAGATAATCTTAGGCTGTGCAGCCATGTCACGTGCTGTGTCATGTGAAGTGTGTTGGTGTGTGTGATCAGTGCAAAGCTTTTCTGTGAGTGCAATGAAGTGTTGTTCTTTTGTATGCCTGTCACGTTGGCTATAAGCCAGACATACAACAAACTCTGTTTTATTTTTTTTTTTCTCAATGAGTACCAAACTTTGTTTCAGTTTAAGAAGCAAAACACAGTTTTCTTGAGCTGAAAAGTCTTCACCAGTTTTTAAAACGTTGTCAAATGCGGAGAGGCTGTTAATTTCCTGTGGTCCTAATCAGCCTTTTATGTAATCAACAACTTAGTCCCTCTAATTGTGAGGTGCCTCTTGTTCTGATTGGAGCACGCCCTCTACTCATTGAACAATCATAAAAACATTACTTAAACGTTAACTAGACACAATCATGTGATTGTGCGCACTTCCAATTAATTAAACACTACAACAGATTTTAACAGTACATTTGGACAAATAATATACCACATTTTTCCTTGTCAGATATGTTATTTTGTACAACAATGCCGATAGGTATGTAAATGTAGCCCTGTAAATATGATGTATGATGTCCTTTATTGTTTTTTGTTGTTTCATGTTGTAACCTACTTGCTGCAGGTCTCCCTTGAAAAAGAGATCGATGATCTCAATGGGACCACCTGGTTAAATAAAGGTTTGAAATTAAATGAAATGAACAAAAAGGAATTAGATTTTCATAGCAAACGTAATCTCTAAAAAAAAAAACTCTGTTCGCCTTTACCCAAGATGACCAGGCCTCTTTGTAAAAAATGTTGTTGCTACAGAGCCTGGAGAAAGGCCATTAATATTCATTAACTCTTCAACCCATGGGATGACAGCTTTTCGCCACAGTGTGAAGGACACAAGTAAATGGCTGTTTGTAACTCGTCCCTGTCAGCCTCAGATCTCTGGTAATAGTCCCTGTCTCCAAACTGTTGCTTTAACAGGCTGTTTCATGGAGAGGGGTTGAGTTGACTTCCAAAACAAATATTTAAAGATGCAAGCAAAGACATGCATCAGGGTCTGATTGTTACTCTGCAGATGTACTTTTGTACAACGACTCTGATATTCTGTTTTGACCTTTTTCTAGGACAACATCAACGTGGACGACGCAGCACGTTTCCTGGTTGAGAATATCTTGGCTAACGACAAAGGTTTGCCATACGAGGAGAGCAATGGAGACCGGATCAAACTGGACCAGGAGACTGTGGCTGCTGAGAGCAAGTCCGGCTGCTGCTGACACTAAATCCATTCATATTAGCCATCCGCCTCCTTTGGCAGGGTCTGACCCGGCACCCGGCCTGTGGCTCTCAGCCCTCTACTGCAGCCTCTCTGAGGAATATCAATTCTTGGGTCTCCAAAGCTCCAGGATCTTCTCCTCTCTGCACTGATGCCCGTTTGCCCTGCACATCCATAGTTGTTCTCACTAGGCCAGAATAGAAGCCCAATTTTATCTTAATGTTGTCACTGTCTCTGTCTCTGTAGGGCTGTTTCCTTCTTTGTTGACACTTCTAAACCACCCCTTCTTTATTATTGTGTTCATCTCACTGCACATTTCCCTGATGGTTTATTCCACCACCAACTTTAAATCCTACCCAGCCCTCCACACTTGGACCCTGCTACTCCTCCAGTTGCCCTGTTAGCCCCTGAAGCCCTGGAATATACCATGCTTGAAAGGGGCTCAAACTAAGCAAAACTCACAAAAAACTAACTAGAAAACCACCTGTAGCCTCTCGATTTCTGTCCGTTTCCTTGTCATTCAATATTTTTCTGTGAGACAAGTCCCTTTTGAGCTCGCAGCACGCTCATGTTTATGTTTCCAGCTGTTCTACTACTGTTTGAAAAAGAAAGCAGACAAAATTCACGGTTAAGCATTATCAAAGAGTTATTGTATCTCATTTAATTAATTGTTGGCTTGATTTAATAATTTCTGTTAAAAAAAACTGCAATGTTAATTAGAGCAGAACACTTTGTTTACTCAAACTTTTACAAAGACAATACAGTATAATAATCTAATTGTGGTACTATATGAGACATGGTCTTTTCACCAGCATAAACATTTAGATTTACAGCATGTTTTTTTCTTTTTATTGTTGGGTCATACATTGCCATGCAACTGTCAAGCGAAATATCAGAAAAACAGAATGTAATGGAGGACTTCACTTTCTGGTACATTAAAGTGTTCAGATTAAAAACCTGAAAGACTTTTTAAACACTGTGTTGAGATAAAGTGTGTATGTAAAAATACTTTAAATATACAAGACCAAAATAGAATAAACATTTTAAAATATTGTTGTTGTCTACCGGTGATTAGTCTGTTCACATATATTTCTGTAATATATTTAAATGAGTTCATCTACTGTATTATTTTATTTTTGTATCATATAATATTCTGTGAATGAAAATGAATAAATAAGTTGCACCATGTGTGGCTTAGTGTGGTGTGGCAGATATATAAACCATGCTCGAGTAGAAGTTCTGCAACTCTTCAGAGTGAGATGGCAACATCATTTGATCTTTGAAAGCAGGCCTAAGTGTTGGTTACCTAATGAAAAGCACAGATTAATAGCAAATGGTAAAGTCAATGGCTAGAATAAGACTCACAAGTCTAGATGTTATATCATCCAGCACTGTACTGTACTGTAAGCATTAATGGCCACAATTTATAGAGTTGTGCATGTGAAAAACAAGGTCACAACATGTGTATGCGTACAACATGGTTTTAAGTTACCCTTGAAGACACACAGTGCAACAGATGAAGTTGTATTTGTGAAATGTATGTATGTATGTATGACTCAGACTCTGCGCATGTCTGTGTGTGTCAGAGAGGGAGACAGGACCATGTGATTTCACTTAAGAAACAGTGTGTGATAGTCATCAGACAATGTCCTCACCACTATGACTTGTACTCTCTCATCCACACACACAACTGTTTGTGAAGCAGGAATGCAGTGGAGGTGTACCAGTATTGTGGTGTATTACATTACAGGAACTCTCATTAAATGCCAATACTTCAATCTGCATGAAATTAATAAAATATTTCAGAGAAAAAGTTAAAACCTTGACATAATACAGATGTATTGGTTTTAATCTATGAATGTATATGTTACTGTGTAGGAGGTGCTACAATTGTGTGGTTTTACACTATGATCTGTTAATTTAAGGCAAATCAATGCTATTCAATGCCATGGTATACATGAAGATGCAACCTTTGTGACGCTTTTAATGTTACACTTTCATCAAGATGGTTCGAGGAAGGTAGGCTACTGAGTCAAGTTACAGTAACTGAGGCGATATTCTGGATGGTTTCAGTTTCAATCTATTGTTTTATTGTGTCAGTTTATACAAAGGACAATATGGCCAGCTTTTTAATTGATTAGGTTTCTTTGCTGCTTTGTAAATAGATTAGTTGTTAAGGAAAATCTGACTATCCCTCACTATAGTAACAAGTGATGCCACAGCTGCAGTCCCCGCCCACCTTAAGGCTCCGTTGCTGAGCAACGAGAAACTTTGAAGAGCAGAGACATAACCAAACAAATGTACCCCCGGCAAGCTACCTGACTTTTTGGTTCTTTGTACATTTGCTTGCAGGTTTATTTTACCAGGGGCAATGTCTAAGGCAACACTCAAGAAAAAGGAGACCTCCAGTAAAGTCTCTTTATCCGAACGACCGACTGAGTGAGTTCGGATAATGTTAGCAATCGGGCGTTAATTAAGACCAGCTGTTGTTAGCATTAACGTGAGCGTTAGCAGCATATCAGCAAACAACTAAGCTAACGTTAGCATTCAGTATGTACTAATCGAGACACCATACTTTATTAACTGTGGCTGAATTAATGGTTTTATGAATGGTTCACAAATATGTACTATCTATCTGTTTCCGCAGAGGTGGGAGAAGTACTTCCTGTGCTTAAGTAAAAGTACCAGAGTGTAGGAATACTCGTTTCAAGTAAAAGTCCTGAATTCCAAATGTTACTCAAATAAAAATACAAAAGTATTAGCTTTAAATTCAGAATAATAAATAGTATATGTTTTGATTATAATTATTGATGCATTGATTAGAGTGTTATCAAAGCTGGGAAAGGTGCACCAAATGTTACTTACTTTATTTACTGCAGGGTAGCTTGTGAATGTTACTGAAGGTGTAACAAAAGTCTTATTTACTGTAAGTGTTGATTTTATTTCACATCATTAATCCAAATCTGCAAAGTAACTAAATCTATTAAATACATGTAGTGTAAAAGTACATGATTTACTTCTGAATTGAATTGTGGTAGAAGTACAAAGAAGCTAACAATTGAAATACTCAACAAAAGTACCTAAATTACCTAAAATGGTCCCTAAGTTCAGTACTTGAGTATATGTAGTTCGTTACTTTGAGCCAATGTGTTTCTGTACGTCAAAACCTCAAGTAATCACTTTAGAAAAGATGTCACTACATCGCATATGGCATGACAAAAACAGGGTTATACTGGACTGAATGTCTGGTACAGTACTGGCACATTTTTTTGCTAAATATTGCCAAAAAAAATAAAATAAGCTTACACATTTAATGAATAGTTTATATGTCATTATTTCAGAGCATCGTCCGTAGGAGCAACTTCCTATGAGAGCCTTGGAGGTGTTTGGAGATGCAGGTTTCCCATTTGGCCCGAGTGGAATGACTCAGAAGTCAACCTGGAGAAATGGGACTCAAGTAAAGGAGCTGATGGAAACTCGAACAAGAGTCCCAATGCTGTAAATCTGGAGTATACAATTGTTGTTTTGTATATTGATATATTGGTGTACTGTTCAGTGTACTATCAAAAAAGTGTTTTATTTCACTATACAACTAAATGTATCTTTATTCTTTGTTTTTGTTGTGTTTCCGTATCAAATTAACTTTTTTTGCTTTTTCTTTAGCATTTTTTTGAAGATCCTGAGGGAAAAATATCCCTGCCTCCATCTGTGAAAGTGCACTCCTGGAAACGTCCTACAGAGTTTATTGTCAAGGTAACATCATGTGTAGTACCAAAATGACAGGTATTCTATTGCACTGTATAATGATAAACATACGCTTAGAAGGTCTGTTTTAGTATATCGGATCTAGTGGTTAAAATAGGAAACAATAATAAACAGGAGAAAGCACATTGGTCATGAAGGTATACAGTACACATATAAATTAGAAAAATGATTTAATGTCAACTCGCATGAAAAAACAATTTCACTTCTTTCATATTACTTAATGGTTTCAATTTAGCTAGGGCTTCAATTTTCTGATATCACTGGAAATTAAATGTACAGTATATGTATAAAAAAAATAACCAGTTTTAAAGTCACTTGTCATTTATGTCCCCCTTTTTGTAGATAACAATGACAAATAGACTACATATACTTGCAGAAAGTATTCGTTTTCTAATTAAACATGTCAGGGGAATTACTCTAAGTAGCTGTTTGTTGCAGCCATTAGCTGTATTGGCAAAGTGTATTTCTTTGCCACATAATGTGAAATGCAATGTAATGTAATGTAATGTAGTTAAGGATATCTTCTCTGTAGTCACCTCCAATATAGTTTTAATTTAATCACTCCGATTTTCTGTTCCCCCTCTCTCAGTGCAGTATTAAGCTATTTTTGCAAACTCCCTGCTTTTACATTTAGTCCTTGCCAGGTAAAAAGCTGCCTTTCCACTCAAGATGCCGAAAGCATTTAATTAATTTCATACAAGAGGAACACGGGATAAACACAAAAGCAATCAGCTATGCAGACGCAGGCGAGGCTCTACTGTGAAACTCTCTTCATTAGTCTATAGCGGTCCTTATTTACAGAGCTGTGTTATTGACGGAAATATTTTCAAGTTTGGTTCCCTCTTAGAGTTGCTGTGACGTCTCGAGAGAACACAACCTTAATTGACCTTCAGCTGATCTCTCTCCCCACCATCTGACCCATTTAATCAGTTTTAATTAGTAACATGGTAGAATATATTAACTTCATATTGAAATATTCATTGCAGACACAGTCTTGGGAGTATCATGGTGAGGTTAGACCAGTTGAGGACCTTTTGAGGAGGAGAGAAGTGTTAAGTGGGTTACATATTCATGTCAATTATAAACAGATGACGCAAGATGGCCAATGTGTGCATTTATAATGACTAGTTATGATGTGTAGAAATACAACCACACACTGTAAAATATTCTGAGTGCATAAAGCTTTTCTGTCAGTCATCTGGCTGTGAAAGTTTTCTTTATTTAATTGTTATATTATATATTGCAATCTTCTATTTTAGGGTATCACAGTTGTTGAGAATCCAATGACCTTTGAACTGATCTCCCCAAATGATCATCTGATTTGCAGTGAGGTTTGTTTTCAATTGTTATTTCTTCTTTTCTATAAAGCATTGCACTGACTTTTCACTAACCAGTATTGATCAGCACTTGAATAGTGTAATTCAGATGTCAGACAGGGTGACGTTTGAATGACAGAGTGAATTACACTTGGGTAATGCAATGCCCTATTGATTTTGTGAATGATATTGAAAGAGATTTAAAGGTTGATAGTCGGTTAACTCATGATAATGTTTCTCTTCCTTCTCTACTCTACTCTTAGCTGATGAGGTGGATCATCAGTGAGATATATATAGTTTGGACGCTGCATAACAATTCAGATACAAAACAAGATATTTGGAGACCTTGGGATCCCATCTACTCGCTGTGTAAGGTGGGCAGAGGTCATGTGCCACTCTACAACAACTATGGAAAATACCTGGTCAGACTCTACTGGATGGTGAGCCTGACACACACACATACACACAAACATCCACCTACTCTTAGTCTATTTAAAAAGTAGTTTTTAAGAAAACTACATTTCTGACATGCAGGTGAAGTCATTGCTTCTCAATGCCTCTTTGTTATTAACATTTTAGAGGCACACTTGAGGCAATGGATGACTTAAGATTGCATTGTATTGTTTAGCAGGCCCCATGAAAGAGGAATGGGGATTGACTAAGGGTTGGAGCGGGGGGGAGGGATGAGAAAGCCTTATCCACTCAGAGCTCAGATCAATCAGTCTCACTACTGTGCCATAAGTGGACGGGCTTCATATTGCCTGACGAGTAGATAAGGTTGACAGGAGTCAGCTTGCTTCATAGAAGTCATGTTCAAAATTGAGTATCCACGCCAAGTAAGATCATGAGAGCAGGCACAACCATGGTAGGGCTTTATGTCATTCAAATAGATTTTATTTAAGTGTTAAGATATTTCTGGTGTTTCCCTTTTGATCAAAGACCATCATTGCATTGGGATACATCTTGATATTGTTGGTCTGGTTGTTTCAGTATGTGTGTTGCTTGCCACAGATCTGTAAGTAGTGGACACTAAATCATTGTGTCATTTCAGAAAGGAAACTTCTTCCAGCACAACAATTTGGGTCAACGAGGAAGTGAAAAAAGAGAGAGAGCTAAAATTGATGGTGTTCTGTAGCACTGTGACTCTTGCCTTGACAAACAAGCATGACACGGTTGTAGGCAGCAGTCCCCGTGCCAACCATAGCACGCTAACAGATGGTTGTTGAGATGGCATTAAGCACCCAGCCCCCATTCATCCTTCCTGCTTCCTCCCATGTTATTGCTCATAGGCTACTCTCTTATCTACTGCTCATATGATTCCTTATTGTTCCAATTCACACCAGTCTTCTTTTCTCCTTCACGCCGCTGTGAATACCCATTCCATTCCCATTTTCTCAGCCCGTTTTTGTTCAGTCCCTCAGCTCCGTCTCTCCTTTCCGCCTCTTCTTCCTCTCTCCTCTTACTTGCCCTTTCACGCTGTATTTTACCCCGTCTCCGAACACATCCAGCTCTTCCTCGGGGCGATGGTTTGACAAGAAAGTAGAAGAACAAGCAAGAAAGAAAGTCTGCTCGCCCACTCTGTATACAGTTATGCTAGGGCACACTGATTTGTAAGGAGAGGCACAGCTGTGATCAGTCAGTCAGATTATGACCTGCTTTTTCTTACAAGCAGTGTGAAACTCCCCCAGACGGCCAGTAAACAGACCACACCACAGGCAGCATGTAATAATCCTTGACACCAAACAGGTTGCAAGGTAGCTGATGCTAGGAGAGGTGTGGAAATGTCCTCGGATCAGATTTTGAGGTCACGTGTTACCCATTGCGCTTTGAGGAAAAATGTGATCTGAGTGACACCTGTGGCACATTTAGAAATGGAGGAGAAATCCAAGAAATTACCTCGGCAGTGAATATGTCCAGGGCTAGTATCAGTCTAGGGCTGGCCAATCACATCAGTTCCTCTTATTTCCTTTAAATGCAGTTGTTTTCCTAACCACAATGTACTGACTGTTTAAACGAGTTAGGCAATCTTTCCCTAGCATGAACCATTTTTTCAGTCAGAAAGATTTAGGGTCAAGGAATTCACTGTAAATTGTTATTAAGTTAATTTGAACAATTAATATAAAACACTTCAGTACAGATTAATTGAAACCTGTTAATGTACATGAGCATTAGATCAGTGGTTGATGATGCTGCCTGTGTTGTCATGAAGGTATCAGCAGAATCAAAGTGAGATTTGTAAGGTTATGAAAGCTGCCTAACACACTGATACACATTTTATTGGATGTTACTAGTCAGCTGATGATCAGCAAGATGAGGCATTAATGAGCATATGATTTAACAGCTGATAACTAATCAGCCGATGTCAGTGCCATTTCAGTATAGGCCTGAAGGCATTGCTCCATTCTGGTCTCAGAAGCTCTCATTTCCAAATGTGAACATACAGCAGCTCAAATATCAGTGCAAAAAGCACCATTCGATCAGCTTTACAAATATACTGTGAGATGATGCCTCTTTTAAGATGATTATTTTGTGTGTAATTATGGAGTTTTATGTTCTGGAACACAGCTGCAGTATCTAATTGTGCCACTCTAAGGAACTTAAAAAATATAAAATGTTGAATTATTTAGTTCATTTGCTTTGATTACACGTCCTCACTCACTGTTTGTTCTTTCCTTGTTTTCAGGGTTGTTGGAGGAAGATAACAGTAGATGATTCAATGCCATTTGATGAAGAAAACAACTTGCTTCTCCCAGCCTCCACCTGTCAGTCAGAGCTGTGGCCAATGTTGTTGGCTAAGGCTCTCATTAAGGTGGCCAACACAAAGTGAGTTACCGTACATTCCAGCAGAAACTACATAAGCGTCTCAGTACTGCCGCAAGGAGTTGAGAAACATTTCTAATAGTCTTAAAGTAAGAGGGCTGAGGAACAGACTCCAGCTTATTCCAAGTTTATTCAAACTATGCACCCTAACTCAAATTAGACCACCTTAAAAATGCACTATGCATATTTACCCATTATACTATTTACACTTTACACTAAGCCTGCCTAAGTAAAGCAGTGTTAAGGATGGTACCATTACCCAATTTCATTAGAGTAATTTGCAATGAACAAAATAAAGGTAGGATATTGAACTTACTGTGATTTTTTTTAAATTATTATTTTTAACATTTTGACCCTGCCAGATCAAATCAGATTAAAAAAGTATTCATGATCACAGTGTAAAAGATACCTAATGTTTCATGCTGAACTATTGGGGACATTTTTTAAAAGCTGACGTGTTAACACCTGATGAAGTAAACTAAACTACTTAAAGCTCGTACACTTGCACTAGAACCCCTTAAAGTGTGTTTTGCTGAGTTGCCACCAAACCTTCATGTGACCTACTCTCTGCCTTGGGGCTGTCTTGAGTTCGGTGACAGACAGGCGTTATGTGTGTCTGTGATGGGGCAGCATGGCGTGTGTAAAGGTGGCTGTTCCAGTGTTCACAAAAGGTCGAGACATAAATGTTTTATCCAAGACAGGAAACAAAGGAGTCTTTTTCCTTGCAAATTATTTATGAACCATAGTGAAAGTTCTTCGTACTGAAATAGTCCCAAACTTTGCCCAGGTGTCTGCTGGGGCTCATATGAAAGGATGTAGTCTTTTTTTAAACAAAAAGATTAGTTTTAAGGCTCCATCACCTTTGTGTCGAGCAGCTTTTTAAGATTTGTACTGCTTATGTGCTTTGGCATTACTCATCTAGTTGTATTGATTTCACTTTCTCTTGTATCATGACTGTGGACTGGACAGGTTGGCCACAGGATCCCAAGAGGGCCAATTAGAGCTGCTGCAGGCATCTGTTTCAACTGAGAATAGTGTGCGAAGGACACACACTCACACACACACCAGAAAATTGGTTAAAGCGACTTCAATTATAATTGCGTTACACATACGACACATTTCAAAATGAAGAATATAAGATCAGCCTGTCCCTTTGACAGTCAGTCAAACAGACGGCAGAAAAAGTCCAGGCTGGTTATGATAACACCAAACACTTTTTACTTGTTGACCTATATGAGCTTTGAATGGTGCCTTAAATGGTCAAATTGTGTTAATCAATTATTTTGTAACTAGAGTCAATTTGAACATCCTATTGTTTTGGCATTCTTTGTTATGGATTATTGTCACAAACATCTTGTTTAAAATGTTACCTTGTTTTCTTCTCTGGTGTCAGTACTAAACATGATGCTAAAATCAAGACGTAAAACAAGAGGAAGTGCTAATAATTTTTGTTTCATTGTCATTAGTTAACGCAATTTAGTGGGAAACATGTTTGTGATTTCACATTGAAACCATAACATCACAGGTTTCATTTTAGAACTGTTTCAATGCCACTATAGGAAGTCTCTAGTTTGTCTTTTTCTTACAGTTTTTTGTGTATTTGATTCCCAGTGTAACGTCAGAGGCCAGCAGGGAGATGGGTGAGTTCAGCTTTATCCAAACCCTCACTGGCTGGATCCCAGAAATCCGTCCTTTAAGGTAAGGTCCTGATTGGTCTGATCCACTCTTGTACCTCTGTCTTCTGCATCACTTCCTAAATCCATAGATAAGTGACTTACATAATTGTGCCTATGTTAATGCCGTTGATAATCTTTCTTTGCTGCTATCCCACCCAAAGTGGGACTATCTAATATCTGATAGTTTATAACATCAAAGGCTGTGGCAATCACACAGTTTGACAAGCAGTGAATTCTTCCTGTCAAATATACCATTTTATAGAATCTACTGTAGCAAAGAAAGAAAAATGTGCATCTGTCTACAATGGTATGGAAAGTCACACTTTGGGAGAAACTATTGAGAAACAAGCAGATTTATAATGAAGGAGAGGAGTGGAGAATCCCGGCTTGTCAGTGATGGAACTTCAGTAGGGCAACAGTGTTTAGGAGTGGAGCTGGGTGGTGTTATTCTCTGTAGCTCAGCAGGTTAGCTGCTGTTAGTGTGTGTCTGGGGAATCCATCAACACGTTCAGGGGCTGTACATGTTTGTGTTACGAATTGATTCGTGACACGTGGGTCTGCAGTCCCATGTGCACGTACAGTACACACACATTCTCCCACACCCCCACACATCACACACATACTGTACATACATACAATTCTATTTACAACATCTGCTACCATTTCAATTGACAAAAATGCAATTATACCTATATTGTGGCCACAACATTCTAATTTCTGTTCTGTAAAATATTAATGGTCGTGTTGAGTGTTTTGCTTGTGTACTACTAGCATGATATAGTGGCAGCTGTTTGGCATAAGAAGAATTGTGATTTTCATTATTCTGGTTAATGCTAACAATTAGCACAGAGGAGAAGTTTTTGTAACCCAGAAAACTGTACTCGTTTTTTGGTCAAAATGATGCCCTGGTGCATCATTTTCAACCACTGGACTGTCTCTACCTTCCACAACTGCTGAGCTAACAAGATGGAGGAACTATTTTACCAACAATATGTCTATGCCCTCTTATGGAGATACATTCAGTATTCAAAAAGAAGTGCAGGCTGCAGTTCAAGCAAAGAGTAGATGTCCTCCTCACATTAGAATGACAGGATCAGGCTGAAAATCCATAAAGTAAACCTTTAAGCTAACAACACAGTGATGTTCTTCAAAGAAAATAACATGACCTCATACTATACCTTTGAGTTGCTTATCACACATAACAATAGTGCTCACTTATTCTGGTACACTAACTTGCTTTACCATACTTTCAGCAAGTGTACTGAGATGACCCACACATCTGGCATTGTAAGGAGGCTAGGAACCTGTTTCAATGTCATTCTTCACTGGTTTCTAACACGCATATGTTAGATTGTGTCAGTGAGGTTGTGTTTCATTTAGGTCTCTGTTTTGATTTGCATTTGAAGGTCTTCATGCTTTAAAATAGTTTTAAAAGCATTATGTAAAGCATTTTGCATTGCCTTTGTGGATGAAATGTGCTATACAAATAAACTTGCCTTGCCTGCAGAAGCTAAATGTATTCTAAATAATGATGTAAGAACTGCAGCCCATTGTATTGCAAATAGGGGGATGTATACAGTAACAGGAACAGAAACTGCAGTAGTCTCAGTGCTAAGACAGTGTGAAGAAATGGTAGACTTCATCTGTTAAGGCAGAAGTCATTGTGTTGAGAGCTGACTGCTTGCTCAAAACATTTTGTATTGGAAGCAAAATAAATTACAGTCAAATCCATCTTAAAAATGCAGGTGTTTTCAACCAAATACTATAATACTGTCGTCTATTTCCTAATCCTATTTTCTTTTACCTCCTTTCAGGTCCGTAAACCTGGGAAAAACCTGGGATTTCTTACAAGAAACCCTTCCGATATTTACATTACCGGATGAGAGTTTGCCGGGGACGAAGCTTCAGACTGCAGATTCAGCTGCAGGGAAAGATTCTAGCTTTAATGACAGCAAGAATGATCCCGCAGAGCAGGAGAAAAGTAAAGGACTGAACTGTGCCACAGTCACACACACACACAAAAGCACACAAACACAGAAAGGCATGCAATTATGCAAACATGCATACCCGGAAACATACATCTCTATTACACACTCTGCTTCCACAATAATTGAGTGAGTCAATTAAATCAATCATCCATTAGATTGAGAGCATTCGAATGCACATAATACTTACAGCTTATTACTCCATCAGTGGGCTGTTTGACAAATGATATCGATGGTCTACTACTATATGTGCTGCGCTATACTGTATGCAGTATTTGTATATATCTACAGTTTGTAAATGCACTGTGTGTGTAAATCTCTATTTTCCTCCCTCTGTATCCATAATTCAACTGCTATGGAGCGTGACAATGAATATTTCATTGTCCTACAGAAACTCAATCCTATCAATGATACCATTCTATTATTCCAGAAATACGTCATATATCTTTGCAACATTCATATTTGTTTAATGTTTTGCTGTGAGACTTGAAATACACTCCCGGCTGAAGGTCGCTCACACACATATTACAAAACACCTTCAATTCTGAGCCAGTGCTCTGCGACCTCTTTCCTGTTGTTTCAAGCATCACTTCCTGTTTTCTAAAGCTCATGTATTATGGAGCGCAGGGAGGGTTAATATGTGTATGGTGGACTATAAATAAACCAGCAGAGGGTGCAGTGGCAGGGTGAATTATTTGGTGTTCCCGCAGGGCAGAAGAGCCTCCCAAGTTAAATGTGGGTATGTGATGAAGGCAGGATTGAAACATGTCCTCAGAAAACAGTGTGTGGCTTGAAGATGTTTCAGGTCATTAACTTAGAGGGATAGAGTTTAGGCAAGGCAAGGCAAGTTTATTTATATAGCACCTTTCAACACAAAATGAAAGACATTAAGAAGTAGTGCAGTGTAAACGCATTCTAAAAAGTTTAAGCTTTATTTAGGTTGTACAATTAATTTAAAGAATCATATGTACTGAAAAACAAAATATTTAAAGTATTTAAATCAACATGATTGGGCCACAGCAGGAAGTCCTTTTCCACTCTTCCCTCTCTTGCCCTCGTATTTACCCACCTGCCCTGTTTGCCTGCAATCTGTTCCTCTGTCTCTCCTTTCATTCTGCTGATGTACAGGAATACAAGTGTTACTAACACAATGACACGTATTCCCAACATGCATTACTTCAAAAACATTTCTCCTCTAGAAAAAGGTGCTCCTCATATACATGCATGCAAAGACCAAAACACGTTCTCTCTCTGTCTCACTGTTTTTGTGCCCACTGTTGTATTCCATTGAAGTACATACATTGAAATGCATAAATCACTATGCAGCATAAGAAGCACTTCTCTGTTCAATACTTAATGCGCAGCCTTTATATCAGTCCAGCCGTGCTCTCTTCTCTACGGTCCTTCAAATTGATTTTCCATGTCTCATGGCTCATGTGCTCCTCATACCACATACTCTAAGATGCCCCATAGAAGCAGGGCCATCCATAGATAACCTACATACTCTCTTGTTGCCTTATTTATACCTGTGGAGGCCAATAGTGCTTTCAGATCTCCAGGGCTACACATTACATTACACTTTCTATCATCTTTATTAGGTTTACTTTTAGATGGCACTTAGTTTCGTTATCGTTGCATTTAATCCGAGTCAATCCATAATTTAAATTGTAGTAAATTGCACTGCGAACTGATACATTGCAAGGTGTAAAATGTCAGTCACAGAGTGTATATATATTTTGTATCCATGTTGGACTGTCTGTGTTTACTTGTGTTTCTGTGAGTTTGCATGTGGGGTTTACTTATGTCAGTTTCTTTGTGACTTCCTCAGGTACCCCTGAGGTAGTGGTGTGTGCCAGCTACTACCCTTTACAGCCACATCATAATTCCTTTGGGTTTGGACAAATGGTATGTCTTTTCTCTATCCCTGCTCTCCGCTGCTATGCATACACCTGATCATTTCATACAGATTTCTTTACTTCAGTCACACTGAAACGAGACACATTTGCGTGAAGAAATTGCTATCTTGCACACATAGACATAAATAAATATAAAGACAATTTTAAATGGCCACATTTGATCCAAGCAACTCCCACATATTAATAATTGAACACTACATTTGAGAGATTAAGATACATTTAAGTACTTTTAAAACTATCCAAGTCACTTCTGCACGTGTGCGCGAGGAGGTGCAGCAGTATGGAACATGGCTGTCCATTGCATGCATTATAAAGGCTTATTACACAGCATTGAGTTTGCAAATTCCGGAAGCTTAAGGTGTTTCAGGGCTAAAATCACGAGTTATTCCTTATTGCTAAATCCGATTGCAAAGTATCATTTGATTAGATCATCCACTGCAGGCATAATGCACGGCAAGCAGGGGCGTCGGTGGTGTGTGAGGTTGATCTAACGCTCTCTCGCTGTAATATCATTTTTTGGCATTGGCCCTATTACGCCATCATACCTCTCTTATGTAGCACAGTAATGTGAAAAATGTTCTGAAGCCCTAAAGTAAAAGTGGGCGGTGGAGATGAAACATAACAGGGCTTGTGACCGGGGGGCATGGTGTGTTCTATTTGGATGCTTCCCCTCAACAGGCTTCACTTGTTTTATTATTTATACCCATGCTAAGGCTAATTGGTGGACAGGATTTCCTTTGTGAGAGGTGTTGCATCACCTCCACTCTCTGATCTTGGGTCAAAATCCCCTTTTAACAGTTTGACGTGATTAACATGTAGAGTTGGTTACTGGTGATAGTAATTATTAATATTACCGAGTTTCACATGTTGATGGGTTGTTACTGCATGTGTATTTATATCTGTGCTTTTGTCTATGTGCGGACACACAGGCTAATTCCTCAGAGTGCCTTCGTCAGTACGGTCTCTCCTCGCTGTGCAGCCACATCGTCTTGTTGACCAGAACCCGGGCTTGCCAGCTTGAGGCACCACCCAAACCTCCACCTGTACCACAATGGAAACTCATCCGTCCGCCGAAGGAGATCAATGTCACGGATGAACCACGGAGTAAGAGAGAGACAGAGAAAGAGGCAGGAAATGAAGAAATGTTAACATTAAGTTTGGAAAAAGGTTGGAAGGGGGAAAACAGGAGGAGGATGCAGAGGAGGATATCTAACACATAGAAAAGTACAAATTGTGTGATAGAGTGTAGGTGAATGTCATAAATAAAAATGACTAGAAAGGAGAGCGAGTGCTAATGCAGGATATGTAGAACCTGCAGTACAGAGGGCATTCAGCACCACATGTTGAAATGAGAAAAGAAGGAGGATAGCTACAATATTTCTGTAATGAAAATAGCTGCTGGCTCGGGCATATCTGACATCAACTGATCTGAGTGGAGCAAAAATGTAGTCAGGAGTGTGAAAAAGCATGCTGGCATGATGTGAGAGTTCTTTTTTTCTTTTCTCTTTTTACAGAGCTTTCTTTGTCCAAACCAGAGCAGTTCATTGAGGTGGCCAGCCCTTTTCTCTCCTACAGTGTCAAGAGCAGCGCTGGCCCGATCCTGGAGCTGTGCGTACACTTTAATCATCTAAAACTTAGAAATTAAACTAGATGAGTCTTTTCTTTCTTCATGTACTTCTGCTCGTTTAACTGAATTGTATTACTTGTCCTCAGCTAACCCTTTTCTGAGCTCAATGCAGAGGAAGGAAAGCAACAAAACTGCCAATACCTGGGGAAGAAATACATATTATCATGATCATATTAGTTTTATTTATGATCTACTACTGTACCTCTGCTTCAGTTCTCCCTGCAGGAATGACATACAGTTAGCATTTGAAAAAATCTAATGATATGCGCAGTTTATTTTATTAAACATTTTTGCATTAACAATTGCACATTAGGATTGCTTTGTTCCCAGTTTACTATTACTAAACTCACTGAAAGAGATTTAAAAAAGTATTAATCACCGAACACAGCAGTTACGGTATAATACTGTTATGGTTTCATTTGATGCATATAAAGGGACATGCATGACTCATTTGTAAATGATATGGTGTATAATACTTCTAAATGTGTTACCATGAGATGTGTGTATGTCATGATCATGAAATGACCCATGTCCACATAGAGCATGACTATATCTTTGTGTAACAGAGAGGCCAGGAGGAGCGCTCAGGGGAAACAATCCCATGGATCCCCTCTGGTCTCCATCGCTGAGAGAGAGGAGACTGATTGCAGAGGAGGCCTTGAGCCTGACGCAGCTGAACGCACCACAATCAAACCAAACAGCACAACAGGCAAAATAGAGGTACATACAATTACTGGTTACTAGGGTTGATTTTTATAATCAGCCTGGGTGTGATTTGCACGTTACAGAGAATCTTCTTTTTGAGGTCACCCTTAGCCATTTATTGAAATAGTTATTGGGATCTGTGAAACCCAGTGTGATGCTATTAGTAGTAGCAGATGTCTGAATTTTGTTGCCAAATGTTTTTTCCCTCCTTTATTATTATTTTCTTGTTTCATGTTTGCCTCTCTCTCCCCTCCGTCTACTCTGTAAGTATGCAGTTGAAGGCTCATCTGAGTAGCTCTGTGTGTCAGTGACAACAAGGCTGCCATCCCCCAGTCTCAAAGTCACTTCTGTTGTCTCCCAGCCAGGCCACCACTGACCAGGGGCACATCGACTAAACACAGAACCAGTGAGAGAAGGGAGGGGGGGTTCAGAGCAGCAGCAGGGAGACAAACACAGACATAGACAAGGATAAAAAGCCAGATAAGAGGAAGAAGGAAGACAACTCTACAGACAAATTGGGACTGAAAAATGGAAAGAAGAAGACAGATGGACAGGGAGAGATGAAAGTGGAGCAGGAAACAGAGGGAGATGGGAAAAGACAATCTCTGGTGTGGTGGTGGCGGGGAACGGGGCGCGTGGGTTTCATACAGGAAGAGGTCGTGTACTGCGTTGATGAAAAAAGCAGTGCAATTAGATGGTGAGCCATCAGTGTCTGTGTCTCCTGGGGGGTTCATTATTACACTTCATTCCTAGCATACAGAGAAAAAATAGAGTTCATATTAATCGCCCTCTTGTGTAACTGTGACCAGTTATAGAGCGGTTAGGCTAGGGCAGTATGGACACACTAATTTGATTTGTCGTTTGATGTGTGTGTGCACATGCACTCATGTGTATTGGTCTGTGGATGTGTCATATGTGTGCCACATTTTTGCTTGGTGTGTTCCCGCTCTTCACAAGCACGTGGTGGCACTCGTGCTGACGGCACTGTACATTAAGTGAGATGGGGTGTTGCTGTTTAGACCCCTTCCTGTGTTTGTCTCTACTCTGGCCAAGAGTATCAATCTCTGGGCTTAACACCTAGAATATAAGAAGGCAGTGTCACATGATGTCCCTAATACCCTCATTAGCCTACTTACTCAACATTACTGTGGGTAAAAGAATTAGACCTTGGTGAAACGGTGCTGTTTTAAACTGAAATGCTTGGAATGTGGTTAATCGCTAAAGCCCCTCCGCGGTTTAAGTTGTCTTGTGCCAGATAAATACATTTCAATACTTCTTTAGCTACACTACGTCTGGGCTCTGAGATCAATGGAAATCCTTCTGCCTGCGAGCTGTGAATAGCCCAAAATATATCTTTTACTTGATTTTATTTGATATTATTCATGTAGGAAATGGGCTACACCTCAGGTGTAGATAACCTTTTGGAGAGCCAATACTTAGCTCTAGTCTGGCAGTCCAAACTAAAACCCCATAAAGTGTGGGATTATAGAAATGAGCCTTGTTCCCCCAATCGACCAAAACTGTGATCTAATCACAATAAATATAGCTTTATCGCTTTATGGCAACATATTAAAATCCGACGAGCATTGTGTGTAACATCTATCAGTCTCATTGTCCCCTTACTGTACTCAGGTAAGGGATCTAATACATATCATGCTGTGGGTGGACAGCTCATCCCATGCCTTGGAGCTTGACTCAAAGTGGTACACACTCCTATATCAACTCATCTTTATTTGTTTTTATTGGCAGTGAAAATGTTGCTAGTGGTTGAGGGAAGGTCAAGTGTGCCTCCCTATCACCATGCCTCTTTCCGTCTGTCTGGGTCTCTGGGTACTTATTCAAATAAGTTGTGACTCACACACAGAGACACACACTCACTGTGACTCATCAGAAAGTCTTGGCGGGGGTTGCTGCAAAGTTACACGACACAAAGACATCATTCCTATTCAGAGTAAACTACTGGACATTCACCAGGGATGTTCCTCAAGGGAACTTTGTTTAAGACAAGAACTTCAAATATAGGGGCCTCGAGGAAAGTTTGTTTAGTCGATACAGGTGTAGCACTTCTTGCACTTGAATTTATCTTGTGTTTTTAAAGCAGCAGTGAAGCCTTTTTCCTGGCAACATCATCTCTCGCATGGCGCAGACAGAACAATGTAGTATCTGAAGGATTTGACAATGACTTATTAGCTATTTTTCTTTATTGTGTTGGGCAGACAAGCATGAAATCACAGCTGTTGAGTAATCCCCATCCAAGAGAAGTAACATGCTCAACAACATAATAACTCTTCATCCGACAGTGGAATTATATTGGAGCTGGTTTTTCCTGGTGGTGTTTTTAGCAGGAGAGATGCAGTTCTTGTCACATTAAACCGGGTCTCGTGTCCTGTGGTGTACGGCGAGAGTGGCTCAACACCACAGCTGGCATGGAATCACTAGAGGGCGGATGCGTTTCTCTGGCAGTGTTACTCCATCAGCAACTCCCTGTTCATCCCTCTCTCTCTCTCTCTCTCTCTCTCTCTCTCTCTCTCTCTCTCTCTCTCTCTCTCTCTCTCTCTCTCTCTCTCTCTCTCTCTCTCTCTCTCTCTCTCTCTCTCTCTCTCTCTCTCTCTGTCCCTTTAGGTTACTGCAGAGGACAGGCAGAAGGACAACGATGACATATCCAATGGTAAAAACGGTTTATTTGCACTGCTGGTCCCAACATTCATGTTGAAAGTAATCCACACTGTATCAGTACACAAGATCACATTCCCAAGGTCAAATATTATGATGCCAGATTGGGTAGATGGTCATTGATATTGTTTTATTCTTTATGATGAATGGAGGCAATATCTTCGAGTTGCATTAAACAGCATCTTTGTAGAGTAGTCCAATTCATGAGATTGGACATTTTTCATATCTCGCCTTCTCTCCCTCCATCTTTCTATCCATGCTTCCATCAGTTGACCAAGTCACTTTGAAGAAGATGGGACTGTGAAATTATGCCTTATGACAACTAGCCAATTCCCTGCCTTCTCTCTGCCCCCGTTTAGTTGCTTAGTAACACCTGCAGTTTGAGCTAGCATACCACATAGCTCAGCAGCAGAGACACTGACCCCTGACGCCTCAGCTTTCTGATCAGACATTTCGCTTCAAGAAGAGCCTGGGGGCAGAGCAACGGTGTCTGTGTGTGCGGGTGTGTGTGTTTTATGGGTGGAGTGTGTGTGACTGTGTGCACGTCTATGACTTTGCTCTGCATGCATTGAGATTGTGTGAGTCAGTGAGTGGGAGTATGGATGTGCATGTGTGCTTAAACTATGCCATTATGTGGGAGTTTGGCCAATTCGACTCACTGTGTTTAAGATAATGATTTGAGTCTCGGAATACTTGATATGAGTCACAAGAGGAAAGGCATTTTGCTTCTTGCAGCATTTTTATAAAGGAGATTTCACAGGCAATTCAGTGTCTATCTGGTAAGCGTGGCATGAGACACAACAGTAAAACTGAGATTTTACTCAGCCTTATGAGGACATGTTTTTTTATTTATTTACATACTGCAGGAGTTATACTGAATAAATGTATAAATATAAATACATTTAAAAAATACATTTGCTACCTTACAACAGATGTCTAACTAAACAAAATGTTTTTATCATTAACACTCACAATCACAAATTAACCTCCCCTCCAGATCGACCCAAAACTGCATTGGAGGATCGTTTAACTGCGGACCCCACGACTCCCGTCAATCCCATCCTGCAGGAGACCTGGGTGGACCTGGATGACTTTGCCAAATGCTTTCAGTGAGACACAGAGACAAATATTTACTGCAAACAGACTGTACCAATAGAGAAACAAATGAACACGTTGGTTGAGGTGCCTAAGAAATACGTGATAATGTTTCTAATTGCTTTTTATTTACTAAGCTCATAAATAACTGGCATTCATTTATACATTTCTTCCAGGACCCTCTTGGTTTTCCATACACCACAATGCTTCCCACATCGGATCCACAAATCTAATTTTAAGGTATAGTTTACATCATCACAAAACAATCTAGTGACTACTTTGTGCATCTTTACAATTTACTGCTGGTTCTTGCTGTCAGTTTTGTACTTGTCGTTATGAATATAGCTGTTTGTTTTCACAGAGCACCGTCCTGCCCAAAACTGCAACAGGCACCAACTGTACTGGGTCAGCTACTAACATCACTGGATCCATTCCTTTGATATCTGCTGTAGCAAGCCCTGAAGTACACACATGCAAACACACACACACACACACACACACACACACACACACACACACACACACACACACACACACACACACACACACACACACACACACACACATGTACCAATTGCACATAAGCACACATTTTGCCATCTACCATACGATTCAACCAATTCGGGGTTCATAGTACCCACACATGTTTGCTTAGTTCTCATGGAGATGGCTCTGTTGTCATGTGTGGAACTTTTGTCACATTCTTGGCATCTGGCTAGTTAGTAAACTTTGAATTAATAGTGTTTTTGTCAACCCAATATTTCCAATTCAGAACATGCAATTAAGGAATCTATTTAGTTCTTAAATAAGCATGCATTACATAAACACACCTGTGCAGTTGTATGAGTGAACATATGCAAGTGTGTGTGTGTGTGTGTCTTAAATGTCTGTGTGTGTTTATACGCCTGTGTGTATAGAGTACTGAGTCTGCTTGTCACTCTGAACACGTATGCATGCTCTCCCTCTTTTCTTGTTCCCTATCTGTCTTTTTTTCCCTCCCTCTTTTGTCTCCCGCTTTGTCTTTCTCACTGTCTCTCTCACAGCTGCTTTTTCTTACATGACTAAATTCACCGCCTTAGCCTCTTTCTTTTAGGTGCTACCTCAAATGCTTCTTTCACTCACTCATCTCTTCCTATTTACTTCACCCACCTCTTCTTCTCCCTTCCCCCTGTATCTTATTTAAGCCACTCTTCTATCAGTTTATCATCACCCCTCCCTATGGCTTTCTGCTCTTTCTGTCTTTTGCTTGTCTTTTTCCTTGACTGCCTTTGTCTGTTTCAGTGCATGTGGCGTACGTGCGCTTGCGTGCGTGTTTGCTTATGTGTGTGTGTGGGTATCTTCCCCTCCCCAGAGTCCAGAGGTAAAAGGCACACACTACCTGTGTGTGGACAGCGTGCAGCATCCCCAGATCCACATCAGCTTCTCTGCTCTGCTTCTCTGGGCGGATACAGCCGAGGAGAGTAAGGATTATGAACACGCACACACATTTTCTGCACGCAAAAAGATTTTCTGATGCAAGTAATGTAAGGCGCTTGACTAAATCAAGCAGTTATAATTCTATATCTAAGCATTTGCATAAGTCCTAAACTATCACTTAAGTGTGTGGGATATACAGTATAGGTTTATAATGTTCCTAAAAACAGTAAAAAAAACATGTATCTAATGAATGTATAACCTACTGTGTTCATGATAGTTCAATGTGCTTTGTCACTATGCACATTTTCTGTCTTTGCTCTCCAACACTTCATAGAAAAAGAAGCATCAGTATGTAGGTCTGCAGTTCTCACCGCCCAGACCTACTCCTGGAAAAGCCTGCAGTCTGAGCTGCCATTTCTCACTATCAAGACCACCACCTCAAAAGCAGCCGTGCTTAACTTACCCCCGGGGTAGGACAGCCTTAATGAATACTGAGAACTGTGTGTTGTATTGATCAAAATTAAAGGCTTAGATAAAGTGAATTTACAGTCACAAATCTATTTTATAGACTGCATGCTCAACCATTTTTACGAGGATCCCCACTACCTAATACCAAAGTACTCCCACAGGAGGTAATGGTTTAGTATGCCATTTCATACGTACAATATTTGATATGGGGGTACTTTGATTCTTCTCTCTGCTTGTGGAACATTTTGATAACCATGCAATGCTCATTAAATATTCTACTGTACATATAGGCAAATGTTTTACACTATGACCAGTCTAATCTATCAAACTTGATGGCTAATAACTCATATTTCCTTTTATATTTCACATACTTATCTTTACAAAATGGTATCCTTTCTCACAATTCTTCACATTTATTTTTTCCAACTTCAAGCTTCCAACCCATAACGACAAATTACCCTAAGCGCTCCTCTGCATTGCAATAATGATGCCAAGGTTAGAGCTTTAATTCTCATCATGGGAACCTGTAAGCATATTTTGAACAGCACCCTTGAGAGTTTTTGATTCGTTTTTTTAGGAAGCTTTTCACTCTTCTTGTGATCTTTTTCACACCGCTATGCAGAGATCTACTTAAAGCTATCATAAATTGAGCAGAGGATTTCTGCCTACTTTAGATGCTCTGAAAAGCGGTAAAAAGCATCTGTCCTACTCTCTATTAATGGGTGCTACTTGGCCTAGAAGCAGAGGGCCTAGTTTCTGGGGTCAGATGCAGGTACTGTATGCAGCAGTGCAATTACCACTGAGCCATTATCACACACCGCACTCAACTTATTATGCCCAAATGCCCCATGGCACACTCACTCCAAGAGAGAATAGCTGACATCCAGGCTTTTCTGTAGCAGTAATCTTTAAAAACATGTCCACTATTTTAGTTCTTGCATGTCACTTTTAGCCCATGTTAACTGTATGTGGTATACTATGCTTTCTTATTTCACATTTTTGAACATACATCACTGTCCTGTGTGTCCATTCATTTAAAAAGAGGTGTTTGTCCTCTTCTTTCGTACAACTCCCATTTTTCCCCTTTCCACTCCACTTCTCTCTTCTTCCTGTATTCTCTCCCCTACACCTCACCTTTTTTTACCCTTCCTCCCATCCGTTTCTCTTTCTCTCTTTATATTTTCTACGCTCCCCTTTGCTTCTACAGCACCAGCCCAGCTCTGCCTCAGTGCTCATCCATTTAGTTAGGATGTGATGGCTGAATTATGTAAAGCTTATGGGGCCATGGAAGTTGGGTTCCACTCTCTCATGGCTGACAAGGCCCTGTGAACTCAACTTGGCACTTGGCACATTGGACATTAGGCTACTGCACTTCCGACCGTTTGACCCATTCAGTATTACTTGAATAACATAGTACTACTCTTAAGTCTAGGAAGGGATTTTATTCACACTTATTTCACACATTTTGTCCATGATAGTACAGTTACAATTACCAAAAACGGTGTAGTCACTGAGTGGTTGGTGGAGGGTTTCTCTATGTACTGATTACTATAAGTTTCCTAATTTAAGTAGCATAACATTTTTGACATTTCTGTACTTACCAATTGAAAAGGGAGAACAAATTGTCAAGAGCCCAACCAGGAATTGCAAGGAGGTGCAAGACAAATCTGAGAGGTTGAGAGATTATTTATTAGAACAGTTATTGTGAAATGATCTAAGAAGGCAACATCCCCTCTTTGTAGCAAAGTATGCGGCCAGTGAAAAGGCTTCATGAAAAGACTTCACCTCTCTTTAAAGGGTCACTGGTGAAACAGATGAGTGCCCGCTGTTTTAGAGGAATTTATAGTGTGCAGAACACCAGGATTTATGTTGTTGTTTTGAAAATACTTAGAATGATTTCTCTCCCTTATAGGCGCCATGTGTTGTCCTTCCAGACAAAGGCAGCACTGGGTTACCACGTTCACCTGTACAGCAAGACACCTTTCATCTTTGGGGATGAAGAAACCATCATGTCAAACCTCACCAAGGTAACGAGGGCTTTAGTTATCAGTTGACAATCAGATGACTTTCAAAACACACAAGTATTTGTGGATTTGAAAGGTAATTGTACCTTGTTTTCTGAATAAGGAATATTCATTTATATTTGTTTTCTTTATCTGTGGATGCATTTTAACAGCTACATGACATTTATACTTGTTTGCTGCTTTCTCATACATCCTCTTAAACAGACGAATCGAGATGTGGATAGCTTTAAACATACATCATGCCACAAGATAGCATGAGGGGTGATATGCATATTTCTTTCATTTCCTTCTCATTCTCAAAGTAATTTCCTCACTCACTAAAGCTCTAACAGAGGGACGCTTTGACTGAGATATACAGTGTTTGCCCAACAAATGAACTAGACAGCACTCAGAGCATGAATACCTCTGCAGAGGCTGCACAATCCTCTATTAATCCTTGATTAATAATAATCTTTTTTTATATTTATATCTGGATATGTGTTTTCCTGTTCAAAACAGGAAAGTGCTCGTTTCATAGAGCAGGCCTCCTCCATCTTTAAGGCCCTCTCCAGAGTGGTGTCTTCCTTTAGCGATGAGCAGGATCAGCCAGCAGCCAGAAGAAACCTGGAAGAGACTCACTGTCCGCAGAACATCAACACCAGCCTGGCGAAAGGGGAACACCAAGAGGTAGCTTGTTAGCCTATGATGGCACACAGTTCCTGTGTACGTTGAGTGGATACCTCACCCTGCTTAACATAGTTTAGCTTGGTAATGCAACAGATATTATAGTTTAAAGACTGAAATTGCCATTTAAAAATGATCAGTCCTGGCCAGAAGCTAACAATGTGCTAAGCTAATACTCATGGTTACAAGGCTACATTTTTGTACAAGGCTGTTACTTTGTAAAAGTAGCATTTCATATTAAAATAGTAAGATATCAAATTGCTTTATAATTTTCCAAGCTTGAAAGTTCATACTTATCAATGTCTGTAGGTTTTGATTACTGGTAAAGACAGACACAGTGTATATACACACTTATCTATATGGCTATTGAAAAAGGTGAATGATGTGCAGACTAACCTCCCACCTACTTGAGCAACAAGGGGGCTTGTCTGAAAGATTCATAAATGAATATTAACTCCTTCAGCCAACTTCACAGCCAACTACTCATGAGGATGTAATTACAAAAATCTAAGCAGCCAGAAAATAAGCATCTTCACATGCAGACACACAATTGATAACACCCTCCTGCACTATCACTGTGTGTGTAGGTGTTTAACTTTGCAGTGTACAGCATGCTGTGTGAGGCTCTGGGCAGGAAGCTGACATCAGAAGAGCGCTTTGCTGTACTAGCTCTCACAGCTGACCCTTCACCTTTGGCAATGGACCCCAAAGAACACTCTGATACATGTAAGTGCCATTTGTTTGTTTCTGTGTATTGTACATCTGCATACGTAAGTATATACTCAAAACTACATTACACTGCTTTAAGTCAATTTAATTAGATATAATTACTATGGTTTCTACATTATTTCCTTCATTTGACCACATTCAACAAAAAGGCAGTCACAATTATTCAGGTTGGGTTTAAAGGACATTTGGTTCGAGAAATAATAAACACCTCAGAACCAGGTGAACACTCTCATTCACACAGAGAATGTAATAATTCAAGTAGCATGGTCAGCTTTGAATCCTATCTTTTAGTCATACAGAAGTCCAAAATACTCACCAAATATTGATTGGGTGGTCTTGAATTCAGCTTATTTCCTCAATTCTCTATGTTTGAAAAGCAAACACATCTACAGCATTTGCGACAGCTAAAGGAACCAAAAAAGGGAAAAATAAATCAAAACAAACAGAATACGTTTTTGTCGATTATTATTTATATCTGAGAACACACATGAAACATCATTCACAGTTTGATTTAGCCCAGTGGCTTATATCTGAGCAGAGACACAAATATGTATTGATGAGACTACCAATCTTACTAATACACCCTGACAGATGAGGGGTAGCCACAGAGGCGAAATACACACATATCTGGGAAATGTGCACATGCGTAAACACAACATTCCTACATCAATAACCATACCTCTCAATAGTGACAGCAAGTGAAAGATGGGGGAGTGAAGACTTGGAAAGACTGGACAGCTTGTTGGAAAGAATGCACATTTTAATAAGAGACAGAACTGAGTAGCTTTTATCAATAAATGTATTCAATAATGTTGCTTGGAATAATGTTTTTATACTTTTTCACTGCAAATGCAGCTCTTTTGCAGCCTATTTCCATTTTGTTACCTTCTTCCGTTTCATACTTTTTTATATGTTATTGTCTCTAAAATTGGTGGTAATTATCTCACTGTGAAGGTGCACTACTGTTTGCAGCTTTTCATTGCTCAGACATTCTGTAGCTTTTACCAAGACCTGAAGCTAACTGTGTCTTCTCCAGATGCAACACTTGACACTGTCACCCATTAAATAACTTGCAGCCATTGGAATATACACAGCCTCATGTACATATGCAGTATTTGCATAAAATAGGGTTGATCATTTGCGTTAATGTAATTTGTAAAAAAATGTATGGCTTGAACATTTGCTTCGATCATAGCAAACATAAAAACATCCACATCATTATAGAACCCATCTATACCAGCAACCTTACAAATAATGCTGGTGGTTACAGTATGTGGCATAGGCATGATCACACACACACACACACACACACACACACACACACACACACACACACACACACACACACACACACACACACACACACACACACACACACACACACACACACACACACACACACACACACACTGAATAGCTTGGCTTTTATGACATAGGCCTGTCATGGTTAAGCTCTCCCAAATTGTATGCATTTACTTCAGAGTGGCACTTACAGTAATGTCAAAACACCAATCATATTTTAAGAACAATGCCTGTCTAGCTTCAATTTTTCTTTTTTTTTTTTCTTATGATGCAGCACATTTGTTTATACCACATATGTTTGTACTTCTCACTTTTTTTCCCTCCCTCCTCTTTTCAACTGTTCCTTCATCTCTTACCTGCTGCCTAATATTCTCTCCGTCTGTCTGCCTGTCTGTGATTCTAAAGATGATAGGAGGTCTTCATCTCTCAATAGCCAGACACGGCCTGCTATAATGGCTGTATCAATTTGGAAAAGGGGGCATTTGAAAAGCAAGTGCTGAGCTGGAGGGAGGATGTGAGGACACCTAACTTGTGTCATGCAGCTGTCTCTTCAGAGCATTTCTCTCACTTATATGCACAGACAAACACTTACTGACACACACATCTTCATGAACACGGTACTGCATCTTTTATCTAATGTTCTCTTCTGTCAGAGTGGGTAACTGTCGGCTGAGATGAGTGTGACAGTTAATGTCAAGGTGTGAATAATCTCCTCCTACACCTCTCACTGAATGAGACAAAAACGCATTTTGACATTTCTGATTCATACCCTGAGCTAGGTCAGCTTCATTATTTTTGTTCACGTGTTAGACAGCAACATGGATTGTCTTAAATCTTTAATGGTGGCTACTTTTCTATGTGTGTGTGTGTAATGTGTTTGTGTGTGTGTTGATGTAATTCAGGCAGGAAGGAGAACCTCAGTGCATCTAAGATCCTTTCAGACATCTGGCCGAAGGTTGAATCAGATGCAGAAAAGCATGCTGCCCTCTTGCTACGGTAAATAAATGCGTAACCACAAGGACTCTGAATGACAATAAATAATGTGCATACAATGTATGAATTGCATACACAAAGACAAAGACCTCTTCCCTATTAGCCTAGCAGGTATTCATCACACAAATCTCATTATTTGAGAGAATACTATTATTATTATTATTTGAGAGAATACATGCGCTCCCACTGCAGTCCTGTGCCAATGTTGTGTTCGTTGTATGGCATGCCTTTAGCCCCCCTGTTGCACCGCATGCCCAGAATCTGCTCCCTCTCCTGGTTGTGGCGGCCCGTGGCGGCCAGGCAGGGAGCATTTTCCACATTGTGTTCCATCTTTTCCCAGTGGTACCATCTGCTGTTTATCCTCTCCTCGTTCCAATCGGCTAGCAGCGTCTGCCGAATGACCCGCTGCCTGGGGAAGTATGTGTGTGCATAGGCATTGAAAAGCTTGGTCAGCGTGTGTGCGTGTGCCTGTGCGTGTGTGAAGGGTGGAGTGGGGGTTGATGGTGTGCCTTTGAGCATGTGTTTTTCTTAACTGACATCCAGAGCCAAAGATCACGCTGAGAGGAGAAGTGCATTTACGTCAATGTATTTTTATTTTACTGGATTTCACTCATAATCAGATACAATAGAGTTATGTTTATTCAAATAAGTTTGTGTAAATATTTTCTACAAATAAACATTCCCATGATCTTTTCACGTGTTTATTTAACATTCAAAATGTAAAGATCATTGAAAATAAATGTACTGAAAGTGCTCTGCTCTTCTGTGTTTTCTGCGCAGGTATATCATTGACCGCTCTGAGAGTAAAGCAGAGCTCTACCCCTGTCAGCAGGATGAATGGACCAGAGTCTCCTTCGCTGATTACTCTGTCCCTCTCCAAGACACAGCCAATTCCTGGGTCTTGGTCTTTAGGTTAGAGAACATTGTAACTTAACGCTTGTTAGGCTTGTCACTGACAGACAGTGACCGAACTTGAAAAGCATCCAATTTTCAACAAATGCCAATATGTTGCCTTCACGCAATTAACTCAGATTTTATTCCTGAACGAACAATTAATTGGGAAATGTAGATATTTCTATGACATCCCATTTTAGAATATCAACAGAAACAATTGAAAAGGATCATTGGTCAGACCGTATTACCTGTTGTTTCTGCAGAGAGGTCTTCCTGGTTTCTAAAAAGATGCTGCTGGTACCAAAGATCTACTCCCCAATCCCCAACTGTCTGCTGCACATCATAAATAATGACACAGGAGAGGAACTGGACACGCTCTTCAGCAATGTAGCAGAACATGTCTATCAACCCAACAAGGTCTGTGGATGCTATACATACTTGCACTTCAAACCAAATTGACTTCAAATGTACTTTATATTTTCTTGTGTGTGGAATATTTGCATATTTTTCCAGTTTTTCCTATTACCAAGATACATTGATTCACTTTAGTTATGCTTCCTGCCTGACTTAATAAAAAAACTGGGGTCATATTTTCTGACTGTCTTGCCACCATTTCTGGCTGTCTGGTGATTTCATGTTGGCAGGATTTCTATTTTTTTAAGATGTGAAACACTGCCTAAAAGAGAAAACAGTAAACCAGTTGTGCTTTTCCCTTTTTACATCTGTCCAACACACACACACCTCTGAAAAAACAAATGTTTTGATTTCATGATTTCATCTCTGTAAATCTCTTGCAGCTTGGTTATACCTTTGTAGCAGAGGCTGTCACGCCTGAATGCCCCCCTGTTGGTGCAAAGTGGAGGATGCGCTTGATTGGCTCAAGGGAACTCCTGCCAAAACTGTCTCATGAGAATCCACTCAACACATTCTCGGTGAAGGAATTGAGGGATTATTACATTCCCAATGAGAAGAACCTCATATGTCGGTAAGATAATTAAAAACGATATATTTAATTATCATATTTATAATAGGAATTATATATTTAAACTTGTCAATTGAAATCCATTTTACTTGGATCAACAAAACAGTGCTGTTACTTATTTTTACGCACACTACAACATATGAATCATAAATATTAAAAATAATGGGTGAAAAAAAGGCCAACATTTTTTTTGTTGCACAAAACAACATTAAGGTTACCCTGAAAGACGGATGGTACCCACAATCATTTGAAACTTTGTTTAACAGTTACTTTGTGGAGGTGACAGCAGACGTTGTAGGGACTGTTCAGTTTCAGACTTCCAAGCCAGATGTATTGATCCGACTGTCCATCCTGGACCAGGAGAATGAGATGGCTAGCAACACTGGGAAGGGTCATGTGTTAATCCCTGTGTTCTGCTTCCTGGCTAACAAAGGTAAGGTTTAGTAATTTAAGTTATAAAATAAAATCATTCTGGATCATGACAGAACATTTGTCAAAGTGCCCTATCTTGGGTATTACAGAGTTACATGTACGGTAGTTTCCTAAATTAAGATCAGGTGCTGGATAACAAGAGTGATACAAGTGGTTTCAAATATTTTCAAAAAAAAGCGTCATGCAAAATGGAAGAATTTATATATTGGTTGAATTTGATGTCTTTCAAATGTACCTGTAGGGACAAAGTCATCAGGAATAATATAAGCTGTTGTAGCTAAATCACAACATGTGGGTCAATCATGGCATTAGAAAGAAGCCTGTTGAAAGGCAAAATGCTAAATCAGTTTATCAGTGTTAATGTATTGGAAACACATTAGATACACCTCCTGTGGTTTTCCAATACAGAGAGAGAAAGGAGTATGACATGCAACAAAGGTCTCTGTTCAGAATCAAACCACAGTCATTGAGGTCTTATCACTCGGCTACCAGACACTCCATTTAAATTGTTCAAAAAGTTGTTATTGCACCATTTAAAATAAATTCTACTGTATTGGGATGGATGGAAACATTGGTAAAATCCTTTAAAAGAGAAAATATGTTTTAGTTTTTAAAAACTGACCCTTTAAACTCATATTAAACTGGTCTTTTGTTTATGCTAGCCTGATACACAGTAAAGTGCAGGTTGACAGTAGAGACACAAGACCTCTACAAAACCCACTTTACTTTTCACTTGATGCTCCCGTCAGTAACAAAAGGACAGATTACTGGCTAATTTGTCTTCTCTCAGATAAGGGCTTAGTTTAATATCTCTCTTTCTGCTACAGACACCCTCCAGCAGAGAGATGAGGAGGACAAAACAGCTGGGAATTCAGACTCCTCGTCTGACCAGCCTCCCACAGAGACTATGGTATCACTGACAACTGCCTGCGTGGTATCTTCTGTTGCTCAAACACTTTACTAATCTCACTCGCACACAAGCTTGCATCTCACTTTCCCTCTCTGTCTTTCTCACCCACTTACTTGCTGCCTGTGTTGATATCAATTTTTCACTGCCAAATACACATAACGCCTGACTTGCAAGCATGCACACAAGCACACACATGAACTTAATCACACCCACGGACTCATCTTTTACTCAGTACAAATTTGCGAGAGGGGAGCAACGGAAACTGGAGGGGCGGTTTTGTTGTCTGTCTTATCAGTGCTTGTCAGTGAGCAGTGATCTACACATGATTTATGAGTCACTCGATTGTCTGAAGACCCCCTATCTACAGACCTGTTGTACTAGATTAATGATTGCCAAAGTATACAGTGAGTACTTTATGTGTGTACCATCAGGCACTGGCAGGCAAAACACACACAATGTCCATAAACATGAACTGAGGTTTATTTGTTTTGATGTAGTGACTGTCATTTCTATCAGCAGAACCAATCATTTTAACATGACTTCTGTTTAACCTCATAAAGAAAAACAATAGATTTTCAGACACTAAACTACAAAAATGATTCTTTCTTTTCAATAAACCTATTATGAAGTACATTTTTTCACATCTTGCACGTTATAAATACTTTAAAATACGAAGCTCCTTCAACGAAGAATACTTGTGATTTATATAGCACTTTCAAATGAACCCAACAGTGGAGTGACATCAATAGTAATGAGACGGATCATGTCAGATCCCATAGATTAGATCAGCAGCAGGCCATAATCAACAGCTATTGATCACAACTAAGACTTAGCGCAAAGGGTCAGTAATTAAAGCACCGCAGGATTTCACACCAGACATATTGATGCTCAGTAAAGGTACATTAATGCTGAAGGCTCCCGTAGTGAGATTTGTTTGTAAAAAGATGGCGGGAAAAGTGCTGTGGCCTTCATTTATCCATAGAAATGGTGTTTATAGGAATTCATAACATTCAAATCTCTTTATGCATTAGGTTCAATACAACCAAAACAACAACATCAGACAATGTAATGCATGCGCTTGTTAAAACATTTTAGTTCCCTATGATCTCTGCATCTCTCTATTAATCATCAGCAGTAGTGCAGATTACAGATGTATGTTCACAAAAAACAAAATGGCTTCCATCTTGTTTTGGCTGTGTGTTTATGATGTTGTATGCCACATGTCTGATGCTGTATATGGTTATTTTTGTAATGCTGTGTTTAATCTGTGATGTGAGGGTTTTACACTGATGTGCTTGTATGTATTTCACAGAGTCATAAGTATGTGGTGCAGGCAGAGGTGCTTCATAGCTGGGATTTGGACGAATCTCAGCTGGCTTTTGTCCATAAACTCAGAGACTTGGAGAATAATGAAATGAGAGGTAGACACTTAAGACAATTAACATCCAACATCAAACAGTCAGCTACACTGAGGCGCCCTAGGAAATTAAACAGAACATCCAAATAAGAGTCTAAATACACATTATGCAGAGTTCAGATATCCCAATAACAAATCGGTATTCATGCTTGTTTTTGCACAGCTTATTTTTGTGTTGAGTGTGAAACGTGGTAGATACTCATTAGGCAGTGTCAGGGGCCAAAGCAGACGCTGTTTGTTTTTGGCTTCTGCTAGCCAGGGGCCTGTTAATCACAGGCCTAATGAAAGCCAAATGAATACAGCTGCTTGTGCAGATCAGAGTGAGATTTCTCGTGCCCACTGCTCGTTGGCTGAGGCAATGATCCTGTCCTTTGCCACCAACTCTGCTTCTCTGCCTTTTAATCATGCGGCACAAAGTGGATCAGGGCTTTGAAATCTGCAGAAGCTTCCTAAAAATTCTGAGGGGATGAATTAATTGCCACATGGATGGATGTTGATGTGACAGAGGTGCTGCATGGGTGACAATTTGCATGATCGCCTGAAAAGAAAGGCCAGCATGCTTTCGTTAAATTATCATTCTCTTCTCTCGTGTTGAAGGCATTCCTAAACTAATAAGCCAAATATCAGATGTATTTGGAATACAAAGGAAGACAAACCTCTGTTTAGATACTCATTACAGTAATGGTCATGTGCGAGATGAACAGTAATGATGTGTTACTGAGATATTCCGTGTGTTCCATTTACATGTGCTTTCTGTTCATAGAGCATGTTAGTTTTTTTTTTTTTCAACATTCACATATGGGTTTGTCCATGTGTGTACGTGTAGTCCAATGTCCACACAAACCTCCTGTGGTTCTCCAATAAGCTTGTGGAAGTGGGTCAATGGGAAGTCAAATGAAGTTGGCTCTTGCCCCCTGGTGCCCTGGGAAATATCTCAGCAGGAGAGTGAATTAATTTCACCCAGTTTAACTCTGTCTCAGTGGTGAGACTGTGCCCTTGATCATGCTCCCCTACATGCTACATGGATACACACGCACTACATGCCACGCCAAGCTTTGAAACCGCTTTAACAAGCTGTTTAACAAGCTGCAGTCAAAATACTGTACTGCGCATGTTTAATGTATGCACATTTACTTCTAACTCCATCTCTGCTTTATACCCTAGTATATACCGTTAGAGCCGTCAGCAGTAGCTGTGTGTGCAGCTGTGGCAGTGGTTTTCAGTCCCTTGTCAACCTCATTGACATTTTATTTTATCCTCTACAACGGTTTCCTGTATCTAAACAACGGTGCTATATTTTTTGAAACATCATTGTACACTGATGAAGTAAGGCCAGCAGTAAATCAGTTATCAATAAATGTGTGAGCCTAAAATTACACACAGACAGAAATTAAGATCCAATCTGAACATCGCATTTCTACATGACCCTTAGTAACTCAAAAGCATACACCAAAGCGGTCGAGGCCGAGTGGCAGGGTGTCAGCTAAATGATGGATGATTACGCCTCTCTATTTCAGCGGAGTGAGACTCATAGCTAATGCCTCATCTAAACTGGGGATTGTGTTCACTTTAGCTAGTGCAACAGTGCCATCTAGCACACATGAGGCAGCACAACACATGCCCTGTTTGCTCACTCCCACTTCAGAGAGCTTTTTGTTGAGAAGCATGTGCATAGCTAAGGTTCAGTGTGAAGATGAATGTACACGAATGCTATGTGTTGTTAGCCGTTCACACTTTAATTAGATTGGTATAAACCTGTAAAAATGGTAAGCACAAAAACGTTAATTCTGCATAAATAATGGTATGAAAGGAAAACTCTTGAATGCTCTTAGGTATACACGACTACTGTATGCTTGTCAAATGTTTCAGAATACTCAAACAAGTGATTCCTAACAAAATCCCTTTTAACTGCAGAATATGTATTTATTAAACCGTAATACATTGACGTCATCAAGTTATAAACACCATGTGGCCAGTATGGATCACCTGAGTATTCACACTCTTGACGTTGTAGATAGTTATAGGAAAAGTGAATTTACCTATTCTCTGTTTGCTTAATTTAGAATACCAGCCTGAGGACCTGAACCAATCATCCACCAACACATCTGAAACACCCAAAGCCCAGCGCAAAGGAAAAGGTGACAAGGAGAAGGAGAAGGAAAAGGAAAAGGAAAAGGAAAAGGAAAAGGAGAAGGAGAAGGAGAAGGAGAAGGAGAAGGAGAAGGAGAAGGAGAAGGAGAAGGAGAAGGGGAAGGGGAAGGAGAAGGGGAAGGAGAAGGAGAAGCCAGCGACCAGCCCCAAATCTGTCTCCAGACAAGAAACGGTAATACTTCACCACTGCACATAAAGCAACGAACAACACTGTCAACGGCGATTGACTAATATGTACAGTTACAAATATATATCAAATAATATAAAGAGTAACTAAATATGATTATATATTTAATGTAAACGCAGAGGTGAGTTGATGGAGTTTAATCCTTTAACTGACTGTGTAGCTAAGGAGAAGTCTGAAAAGCTCTTCATCATATCTGCCAAATTGCATTTCCAAATGACTGTTACGTTTCATTAGCTTTTATTGGATTAAATATGCTTTTTGGATTGCAAGTGGAATTTATAATACAATGCTATCTATGAAAACCATTCATTTACCAACGTTCTTGCCAACTCAAATAGAGTAGCCCTCGAACTGAAGGCCCTGCACTGCTTTTGTTATCCTTGCATATTTTTTTCCACAGTGTATTTTCCAAAGTATCCGATGTTTAGACACACTGCAGTGGTAATGTAAAACTTGGTCAGGATTAGCAAAACTAGTAATATTAACCTTTTTAATAAGAGGGTTTGTAGAGGCACTTCTACTGAGTACGCACTTCACTCCTCTTCAAATATTCCCATCCACATATAATGAGCTCACTCCGGACATGTCTATTTAAATAGGCAGTTCAGTATTTACATATTTTCTTATCAGCCAACTTTGACATGCATCCAATCCCACAACTGCTAGAATGACCTGCGTGTCTTTACACTGAATAGGAGATGCTTATCACATAATACAATCTCATGGTGTGTAATCAGTAGAATTGTCTTGGTTGAGGAGATAGAAACACAGCGGCTTGATAAATCTCTGAGCTGCATAGCAAGTGCCTTTTATTCTCTCCTGCGCTACATGTCAAACCCTAAAGACTGACATTTTCATAATATTGACAGATACATCTCCATTGTGAATATTTTTCTTGGCATCGGGAGCACAACATTGGTGGAGGTAGAGAACATAATGATCCCTGCATAAATGAACTAAAATTGATCTATTATTAACAATGAAGACAAAACAGCTGAACAGTGCATGTAATGGTCGCCGGCTGTGTACCAGACTGTCTGAGTGGCTCATTGAAAGAGACATGATGTGCTGTGGTACGGTGACCTTCAACTAGGATGTTTGTGTGCTGGAGCGTGTGTGTCATGCTTTTGTCCGTGTGTGTACATATTTGTGCAGAGCCTTGACCTGACTAAGGCCAACTGGACTCTGCGTGTGGTCAGTGATACAGGCCAATCGGAGAGCATCAAGATGACCAAGGACACAGAGAGGAGGGACTGGATCAAAGCCACTAAAAAAGCCTGGGAGATGGCTGAGGCAGGCCGCTGTGCCAGGGTAACAAGCAGTTGTGATTCAATGTAGTTACTCATCAGTTTAATTCATTCCAATATTTGTGTTTCTAATGTTATCTGCTGACGAAATATTTAAGGTGTGATTTAGAAAATGGTGTAAATTACTATAATACTACTTCAACTACAGAATGTTTTGTTTTATTTTAGGCATTACAGTCTCGTCTCAAGTTTTGTAACCAACTCCAACAGCAAGCAGGTGATGAAACTTCTACAGATGACACAGAAAACGGAGAGCCAGGTACCATATTTTATACACACAAACTTGCATATATTTATATATTTAGGCACTTTCTGTTTCCTCCACTTGTCATATACAGTAAGTTAATGATGAGATCATTTCTAGTTCTTGGTTCTTTTAACAGCTGTGCACGAATTTGGTCCTGACATCTCTCTGAATCCATCTAATAAAAAGCTGACCAACGCCTCATGCTCCTGTCCGTCCACGGACTACACTCCTTTCATCAGGTACCCCCCCACCACACACAATATTTTCCATTTGTTTGAAATATCATTATTAATCTTAATAATATTATCCAACAGCATAAGTATAAAAGATAGAATGCTGATTAGAGCAGACTGTAGATGTCATGTTGTGTTAACATGGTTTATAGCCACACAACTATACATTTCAGAATTATCACCGCGGCTTGTTTTGACACCTCAATATTTAGTATTTCAGCCTGTACCAACACATTTAGTGTGCATAGAGGTCAGCCATGGATAATAATACATAAACAACTAACTGACTGACGGACTCATCATCTCACTGCATTATTCCAAAAGGCTATTTATTGTTTTCCTGTTGCAGTGTTGTTTGTATGCACTCCAGCTGCCTCATGCTGTTTACTCTGTTTTCTAGTCTGTAGGCCTGCATTAGCTGCGAGGCTTGGTAGAGGAGTGGACAAGGGTGTGTTTATATCTGTGTATTTTCAGTATGCATATTATGTTGGTGGACATACAAACTTCAGCATCCATACCAGCTTGGTTCATGCAGTGTCTGCAGGACATTGCTAGGGATTTCCTGTGACCTTTGCTCCTATTGGTGCAGTCAGTGTTACAAGACTGTGCGCTCTGGCTGGCCTGAAAGGGCAATCTATAGACTATCTACTGTGGCATTTATAGATATTAAGGATAGGCTAAATGGAGGGGTTCTTCATGAAAAACTATCTTAGAAATGACACCAGTTTTATGATATGTCAAAACACAAAGTCACACATTTAAAACAAAAAAACTGCATTTCTCAATTGAATATACTGTAACTGATTTCTCAAGGAATATAGTTGTTTATTTACTTGATGGCTGAGGTGAATGTTATAATGGTATGATTGGTCCATAAATAGTTTAGTACTGTATACAACACATCCTACTTGTAGCCGCAGAAATGAAGTGAACAGAGTGTTGCTTTGATGCTTATTGATTCTGAGATTTTCTTTCTTTTCTTTCCTTCTTGGATCCGCCTGCTTCATGGTTTAGTTTATCTCCAGTACATCATTTTAGCATGCAGTACTCCAGCTCCACAATCAGTAAGGTCACACAAAGCTTTAATTGCAGCAACATTGTTTGTTGTAGCACTCTACAATGGAAATATAATTATTAAGAAAGTCTCAAATCAATACAGTTTCTTAAGCACGTACGTTGAGAGTTTCCTGTTCGTCTATGGCTGAAATGTCAACCTTTGACTTTTGTCAGTATTCTGAAGCGAAGAGTCTCCCTCTACGGTTCCCGTCTGTCTCCCGTTGCTCTCCCTCACACCACCTCTCCTCTCCTCCCTCCATCCCTTCCTCCCTCTGTCCGTCCCTCTCCATGATAAATGAGATGATATTTGGGTCTGTTAATTAGATAGCTATTTCAGGACCCCAATGAGCTCCTTGCTCCAATGAGATGTGCCCCTCGCTCATCACCTCTCCACCCTCTCCTGCTGTGGGTGTGTGCATGTGTGTGCCTGCACGTGTGTTTCTGTGTCCAGCTGCTAACGGCTGCTGACAGCGTGGCCTGCAATCTGAGCTGAGAGAGATCCAGAGGAGTAGTCTATTAGCAGAGTCTGATTAGTCTGCAATACACCTCTTTCACACAAAGGTGCAGCGCAGGGCACATTTTTAATTCACCCTCATGCACACACACACACACACACACACACACACACACACACACACACACACACACACACACACACACACACACACACACACACACACACACACACACACACACACACACACACACACACACACACACACACACACACACACACACACATTCCATTTAAAGACACGCTGTGAACGAGGTTGAACCAGGCATGAAATGAAATGCACTCCATCATCACCTCCACTGGCCTCCCCTCTTCATTAAGGTCATCTATAGGAATTAGACAGCCGTATTTAGCACCTTTATTTGAATTCATCCCTCTGTGTGCCTCAGATGATTCCCGGCCATTTGTCTTTCTCAAACAAATGTTGACTGCTTCTCATTTCTTGTATAACTGTCCTCTATCCACAAACACAAATTCAAGTTATATAATCATATGAGAAATACTCAAATACGATAGTCGAGATCTGTAGACAGACTCCATAGTATTCAGATGTGTTTGTTCCTTTAATGTACTGTAGATGTTCTTATTGTACATTTGCTTAAGTTACACTTCATGAATGCATAAGGCTGGTAAAAAGCATTAACAAGCATTAATTTCTCACAAACATTTGTAACTGTAAATCACTTCGTCATGACCATCATCTGTTATCAACATAATTCATTCCAAATATTGGGAGAACATGTGAAGAGCCATGTGGAGCAGTCCCTCATTCATAGATATGCTATGATTAATAATGAAGAAGTACAACTACCACACATAATAAGCTTAATGCAATAACATGTCCTTTAGAGCAGTATGGTGCGCCCTCTACTGATCATATCAAAGAACTTCATTAGATTGACATTTAATTTGGGTTACAAAAAAATGATGACGATTAAATAAGGTATACAGGAATACCATAGTTGAATAATTGACTTGAACACATTTGAAATGATTATTTTGGCAAATCAATTAACTGGTCATTAACTGTGTGTCAATGCTTATTAATGTATTAATTGATGTTAATTATAGTAAATTATTGTTAAGTGTTACCACGTTTGGTATAGTTTGAGCTGGAGATATTTGTTTAATATCTATTCCTTAAATCACAATTTAGTAGAACATATTTTTCGGAACAACATTATATTTGTCAGAGAAATCCTTTAAGCACTCACAAAGCAAAACATAAACCATCAAATAATAACATGCTGGTGATATAATATAGTAAAGTAGATACATATACACATTGTATCAACTCCTTGTGTACATTATTTAGACGCCAAACGGATTTTCCTGTTCTGAAGGACTCCCAAATGGAGGAGATCCAGCAGAGGGAGCGCTTAGAAAAGATCCAGACTTACCGGTTGATCCGAGACAATGTGCTGGAGCACCAGAAACAGCAACAGCTCAACCGGAAGCAGCTGAGGACACACCACCCGGAGATATATGAGAACGTGCAGGTCAGTGAAGAACAGTGAGGGCACTGAGTGATGGTGCAGACAGTAAAAAAAATCATCATTTGTGAATATCAATGTAAGAGAGAGTGAGGAAGATATGTTATCAGCTTCCTCTCCCTCACATCATCCTGTAACATCTTTCTCTTTACCTCTCTTGTGGCAGCACTGTAAGATATTCCTCGATGCTTGCGAGGCATTAAGTAACCGTCAGATGGCAAACATTAAAATGAAACAAGCAGCGAAACAAGCTCTGGAGGAGCCTGCCCCGCAGGCAGCTTTAGAAAAAACAACCCCCGACTCTGCTGCCACCCAGCAGCCCAACAAACTTGCCAAGAGTGCTGGCAAAAAGAAATGATGGTCATTGGCATCACTCTCAGCTCTCCTCAACAGACACTTCTCAACAATACTGAAGAATCCAATCACAACATCGTAGCCTGCGCCTGATGATATAATACCTCACTCAAAGATTGTTCAAGCACCTGATTCAGAGCTGCAATTAACTCATGCTTATGACTTTAGACTCTTTTGAAATATGAAACTAAGAACTTTGAGAACATTTATTCTGTATGACAGCTAAACATATTCTCATAGCACATATTGATACCTTTTATCTTTCATTTAGAACTTGTATTAACACTGTTCACCTACAAAAGTGTTTTTTTATAGTTTTCGTTCATTTGTTATCATAATATGAGCAATGCTTTACATTCTAAATAAAGACAAAAAATGCATTTGGCTTTCTGCATTTTTTTTATAGCACTGAGAATGTCAAGCAATCTCACTTGCAATTCACTGCTTTGACTTTTTGCTGATTGTATTCTGCAAATCTTTTGTTTTCTTGAAGGTCACTGTATTGATTGTTTGAGTTGAGACATGATGGATACAGCCAACCTCCTGCTAGCTGAGTGCTGATTGATTGGTTAATTGATATGTTCCTGCTGATAGAAGCCCACAAGAGTCCATTCCAAGGCAAAGTGTTTTATATGGAAAATGCAACATAGGAAGGTGAGCATTGATTTCCATAATCCCCAAGGTTGAAGTGAATATATTTCAGATGGAGAGTCTTCTGATGTGCATAACTGTTGATCAATCAAGTGTTTCTTTGTCGATTGAATGTCATATAGTGAAGTAAATGCCCTTTATCTTAGCTTAGTATTTGAAAAAGTATCTAGTTGGTCTCCATCCCACAGAGTCAGCTGACCAGCTGAGGAATGGGAAGTTAAATTGGAAATGAAAGGGAAGAGGGTGCCATCTAGTGGCTGTCGACGTTAATAGATTTTCATTACTGCACTATGCTGTTTTCATGCTTGACAATAATGAATAGTTCAATTTCGTGCTGCTGTATGAAGGAAATTATTATACTGCGGTTTGTTCGTGTGTAAGAGTGTGTGTGTCTGTGTGTGTATATGTATGTGTGTGTGTGTGCACAAGATAAAGGGTTGAGAGGTATTAGTTGTGCCTGCTTGTATGTGTGTGCATGTGCAAAGTCATCCTGCAGTAATCCACTCTGTTATAAAACTTTTGTACCGTGCTGCTGACAATTTGTTCATTGAAATCCTTTTCTTGTAGAAAAGGATTCCCCCTTGCTATGTTATTGAACTTAAATTATGATTATACAACATATGAATTACATCCTATTTGGACTTGTAAAAAGATGCTGTAGACACAAGGAAAAATGTACAGTATTTTGATTATTTGTGGGAATACCTGCACATACATTTATACTTTGAACACAATGTCTTTATTGCTTCTGCTCATGCAAGATGTGTGTAATAAATAACACATTATCATTGTAAGGCCTCATCCAGCAGATCACTATTTCAACGCTTGTACCTGCATGACAGAGCTAATCCTGAAAGCCTTCCCTCTTGACTCTGCACTGTTCTCTCACCCAGTCCTCCCCATCTAAAACATCAGCTCTGATTTGCTGTTTTCCTTACCCCTAAACCCGCCCTCCTCTGTGCGAGGTATAGTGTTTGGGTGTATAGTGTCGCACCATTAGAGAGAGAGAAAGAGAGAGAGAGAGAGAGAGAGATCAACCTACACTGTAATTGGCACTGACGTGTGTGTATTAACGGAGAGGCTGTATGTTAATTGGCAGCTGTTGGCTGGTAGTTTGATCCAAATATGTTGTGAGCAACGGGGAACTAGTGTAACCTTGAAAACAGGGGGACAATCAGCCTGTGTGTGTGTGTGATTGTGTGTGCATTTGACTTCCCACAAGTAGCAAGAAAATATTTGATTCTTAAATGGACCCACACTGAGGGATGATGAAATGAAGTGAAAGTAGATAGGGTACACATTTCCCGAGCGATGTGGAGACTGCGGTGGCTCTTTAATTTACTTTCCATTTAGTGAGGTAATAATTCAAGAATGCCTTAATCAATTTATTTGCTGTTACTTTTGTGAATGACAAAAAGGGCATTTCAACTTGCAGGAACTGACTGTGTATTAATGGTTTCTCTCTCCGTCTCTATGGCAACAACTTTGTATGCATTGATCTCTTTCATTGAGCTTTGAGCATGTGGTTCAGTATCAGGGGGTCACAGTTGTCATCGAGTTCATTGCGTCTCCTACTTTTAATTACCTGTACGTTATCATTAATTTGTTTACCACTAGACAATTAAGCCTGAACTGCATCAATGCAGTAGATCAGTTAGCGACAGGACCTGTTAGTGTGTTGCTGCATCATGAAGACAGACAGACTCCAGGAGTTCACTGGCCTGGCCATGGGAATTAAAACTCATAGTTTGAGTGTGTGGGTAACAAAATATATTAAAATCTTAATAAGTAAGTGTTGGAGGTGTTAATAGTTTTTTTTAACCATGAGCCAGGCTAGCGTCCTCCCACTGCTTTTTATGCTAAGCTAGGCTAATCACGTTCTGGCTGTTGCTTCATATTGATATGAGAGTGGTATTGATCCCCTCATCTAATTATTTTAGCAAGTAGGCATATTATTCAAAATGTAGAATTATTTCTGCATTATGCACAACCCAGTGATTTTTTTATTCCATAAAAAAGTCAATGTGTAAATCTGTAATGTCTGCAAAGAATATGCAGCGCCCTTCAACTCTTCAAGAACCTTATGCTCAGTGAGCTCTTTTTGCCTTTTCGTTCACCTTTCTCTGGCTTGCCCAGGCTCATGCATTCCCCACGCATCAATAATACACACATACACACACCCAGACATAAACAGCTGGCACGGGGTTGATACAGGGTCCTTTGGCTTATTGGCTCAACATGCTGCAGCATTGTCACGTTGCCTTTTCTCTCTTCCTCTGGGACTGAATGTCTTTAGAGGTTCGTCCTCAGTACCTGCTACGCTGATAAAAGACAGGAGAGAAAGACTTTGAGAGAAAAAAGCCTGTGCTTGTGTAGCTCAGACAATGGAGCAAAGGCCAAGTCTAGCAGTGAAGGGGAAAAGGTGAGGGCTCACAGATTGACGTCCAGGCTGTACTGCAGTAATACGAAACCCCTAATGCACACGGAACCCCAGACTTGCAGACACAGAAATGCTGACCTGGTTGCTGCCTCACTCTTGTAACCTAACTAATTTGCTCCCCTGCCTCACCTTGCTCTGGCTACACTCCCTCTTTACCCTTTTTTTGGCCCAGCCTCCAGAACACCACCACTCTCTTCAGCCAACACGGCAGCTCTGCAGACACCGGGGGTGATGTGAAGATCAAATAATGAGTCTGGAGAACTTCACGAACTTCAACACTTCACTTTTAAAGGTGCAGAGCGAATAAATCACTGAACACAATGTCATCATCACCATAGAAAAACAGTACCTGTCATCAGATTTAGGTGACAAGAGACTTATAGCGTGAGAAATCCTGTGTAAGAATGTGTCCTATTGTAACTTATACAGATAGGCCTTCTAATTGTATCTTCCTCATTTCCCTATGGTTTTCACTTATCAACTACAAGATCCTCCCTGGACTACCAGTTAATACTTTGTAAAGATAAGCCAATGCCTATTTGAAGGTCAAACCCAATCAATATTTAAGCAGGGCTGAGACTGAATCCCATGTATAGATAAAAGTCTTTGGTCCAGCTCTATGTACATTTAAAGATTTGACAGTGACAGCAGAAATAGGCTGCTTTGCGATTCAAAGCAGGGGCCTGGGTTGACAGCTCAGCATATCACTACACAACTTTTACAGTGAAGGGATCATGAGATTGTGTGTGCTGTGTGGGCACATTGCTACATGTGTGTGTGAATACATACTAGTCAATGCTTGTTTTTGCATCCGAGCTTCTGGGATATTTTAGTCCCAACTTCATCCCCTGACAGTTACACTAACAACTACTGATATCGGGGAACTGCTTTTGGTGGCCGCTGTGTGTTTGGAAGTTGCACATGTCCATAGTTATTATAGAAAAGCCGTCGTGGCTGTCAGGATGGAGCTGATGTAACGTCCTGTTCTGCCACAGCCTGTCCAAAGTGTTTATTTCAAAAGATCTTTGAATGGTGATTTAGACCGCCCCAGGTGCGGTTCAGTGTTTGTTTGTACCTGTATATGAGGAACACTTTTGTTTAGCACAGCACTAATCATGAATCATTTGATGTCACCGCTTCAAAGCAATACAGGGATCAAGGGTAATAGATAGATGGGAGGATACACACAATTTCCTTAAATAGCATCACAGCGACTGCTTAAATCACAACCTAATTGCCTCGTGTTGGAAATGATTGCATTAATTCAGCGGTGCAGACTCAGTTTACACAGCAGAGCTGGGAGGTGTCAGGTTTGCCAATAAAACAGGAGTCGAAGTTTCATCCCACTTTATTGGATTGTGCAATAGCCCCTGCCAATCACAGGGGATAATTGTTTGGCTTAATTTACCAACAGAGGCTTCAGAACGGGAAGAGTCAGCAGAAAGACGGATCACCGTCGCACAGCTGTAGTCTTAGAAGGCATATCATTTAACTTTCCTCAGAATCCACTTTTCAGTGCTAATTTCTGTAAACCATTGTGTACGGCTTCAGTTTCCTTTCATGTAATGATTCTTACCTGACAGACATTCACCTCTGCTGAGTGGACAGAAAGGGTTTGGTGAGGTGCCTGGTCATGATGAAGTGCTGATTTGATAAAGTGTGAATTGATTAGAGCTTTAACCAACAGGGGGTGGCTGTGCAAGGGAGTCATCGATAACCCGTCCTGTGCCTGCCATTGATTATTGCTATCTTAGAAAACAGGACAGCACACTACTCTCTTTCTCAAACTCACACACGCACACACACATCCCTTTGAGCCTAGTTTTATTTGTTTTTTAAAACCAAATAATGCTTGGGAAGGGATTTGTGATACTTCCCTGTTCCCTTCATACCAGTAAAATGATGGTATCCTTTCATTGACTGTATTGGATTACCCCTCTGCTCCCTCAGACAACTGGGCAGTTGCCGACTTGACCCTTTGACTCAGTGACATTGAACTGAGGACACAACAGTATTACCCTCCATGTCTCTCTCTTCGATTTCCGGATGACTGGTTTAAGTCAACTTAATTTTGGCAGCTCGCCGAGTTCTGCTTCTTTCTAAGAATCTTTCCTCCCAGAGGTCCTGTGTGTGT